AATAATAAGAGAAACGGGTGCAGATCAGTGACATTCTGCAAAGGTGCATTGAATGTCTGTATCACGCATTATGTTATGTTAAAATAACTTATAACAACAGACTCTATAATCTATTAGGAAAGTTGGCTGAACAACATGTAAATGCTGTTTCTACCATTTCTTGAATTTCACCAGAGATCCAACCCAGGAGCCCAGAACAAGGTGTCATTTTGTAAAGACACTTAAAAAATCTAAGACGCAAAACATTCCAGCCCTTTCTGAGCCAACGGACGGAACAACACGATCCCTTCAGGATCAACAGATGAAACAGAGAATACTTTCCAGCTAACAGACGGAACAGAGAATACTTTCCAACAGATGGAACAGCATGACAAGTTCTCGACCAACTCATGGAACAGTATGATCTACTCTAGGTAAACACAAATGGAACAGCAAAATCCACTCTGGGCCAGCATCAATGAACCAGTTGACATATAGACCATCAAATTAAACAGGGTGGAATCTCAAAAATCTGAGAAATTTCCGATGGTCCTATTATAACTATAAAAGTGCCTTGATGAAAGTAGCCGTAATCAAAATTGGCCTTATCTAGGATTCCAGCTACTATAGGTAGGTAATGCAGACCTCGATAAAGCTACATAACAATTTAACTCTGGTTTGCCACATACTTTTCAAAGAGGCAGGTCCCCTATACAGTCCTACTGAAAGCTTTGATACAATCTCAGGATAGGCAGAGAACGGGATAACCACGACTGTCTCAAAACAATTCCAGACAATATTGTAAAATACAAATCAGTCAAAGTTCTCAATGTAGGAGGGTCATAAAAGCCTTCTGTCATCCTGGGGGTGGTCAGTAGTAGATTCTAACAAGTTGGAATGACAAAGGGCTCATTTTGATAGGAACAGACAGGGATAATTTTAGCAATAGAAATATTCTTTTCAAAATATAATAAGAAACACCGGAGAAATCTCTAACCACTCACAGCCACTACCACCCCAGGACGATATTACTACTACACAAACTATATGAAATCCAAAATACATTTCCAGAATTTCTGAAATTTTCAGAGAAGTGGCATTCCTTGGTTACATTTTCATTATAAACAAATCTGTTCAAGCAGTGATGAAGGAATGGATGCTTTGTTATAATGAAAATAACTGGTACCGGGGGGACAGGTTGGGGGAGTCGTGGGATGGAAAAGGGACACATACACCGCTCTTCATAGCCCAGCCTGTGTCTATGAATTTTTACTTTTCTCAGCACAGCGGTTAGCATGAGGACACGCACGTGGAGAAATGATAAAGAGCATGAGGACAGCATTGAGCGGTTAGGCATCAGCTGTCCAGTTAGAGATGCAAGGTCTCCTCAATGGGCTGATAGTAAGGGTTGGTGTAGGAGAATCCCCTGAAGGCTCGGGTGTCAATGTTGGTGATGACCAAACTGTCCGTGGGCGTCATTTTCAAGGGCACTTTGGTGAAGAGTTTGTCGAAATTCTCTGCTTTCCTCCGGTCAGTCTGACAGTGGTGGGGGTAGAGGGGTGGTGGCGGCAAAACACAGTTTTGTGCAGTTGTTGACACGGGTGGGAGGGTGTTGTTGTCAGATGTACAAGAGTTTGTACATGCATGGTTATGGAATGTATGTGTGAGTTTGCGTGCATTTGTGTGAGTGTGCGGTGCACGCGTGTGTATGAGAGAGAGAGAAAGATAGAGAGAGAGAGAGAGAGAGAGAAAGATAGAGAGAGAGAGAGAGAGACAGTGAGAGAAAGAGAGAGACCGAGAGACGGGGAGAGAGAGAGAGAGCAAGAGAGACAGAAAGAGGGAGCATAAGAGAAAAAGTGCCAAAAGTAACATAAGAAACATGATAAGAAATCAAGCAAAGCCAAATAACAGTACACGATAAGGCAAGACACAAGGGAGTGGAATTTACAAGTCCAGAGTGCAGGTGTGGACAAAATGATACATAAAGACCAAAAGTGGGAAGAAAAAAAAAAGCATAGAAGCACAATAAGTGCAGATATTTTGTGTCACATACAGAGAAGAAGAGTACATGGGAATCCGGAAGTGGGGTTGGGTGGGAGAGAGAATAACAAAAATATGTGAATGACAAGCAAACAACGATATACATATATGTAAAAAAAAGAAAGAAAAAAGAAAGCAATACTGAACAGCTATTAAAAACGAGAAATGTCAAACAAAATTCAAAAGAAAACATATCATTGCCAGCAGACAGCTCTCAGGGGACCCAATACGGTGCCAAATCTTTTCATTGCCTTATGCTTCACACTTGGCCAATAGGAAAAACAGCTGAGTGGATTGTGTGTGTGTGCGTGTGTGTGTTTGTGTGTGTGTGCATTTGTGTGTGTGCCTGTGCGTTCCCGTGTGTGTGTGTGTGTGTGTGTGTGTGTGTGTCTGTGTGTGTGTGGGGGTGTCTGTGTGTGTGTGTGAGTGTCTGATTTTGTGTGTGTCTGTGTGAGCACATGTGTGTTAATGAGTTAGTGAGTGTGAATATGTCTGTGGGCCTATGAATGCGCGCGCGCGTGCGCGTGTGTGTGTGTGTGTGTGTGTGTGTGTGTGTGTGTGTGTGTGTGTGTGTGAGTGTGTGAGCACCCATGTGTATGCTAGAAGTTGCCTGGACTCATCATGTTTGCTTTTGTATGCGTGAGGTTGAGTGGTGCTGGTAGAGGTGGTAAGGGCAGCTATAAGCATTAGAGTTTCCACTCTATAGGTTTCCTTTTGCCAAGGGAAGGTATTTCTTTTTCAGATCTTCCTCAGCATGAAAATAGGCATGTCAATTTATTCCCAGTTTCTAATACTTCAGCAAACTCCTTATTCTTAATTCTCTTGTAACAGGAAAATAATAAAATCTTGACGAGTTCCTGAAGCGTTACAATCATCCTCGATATCAGTTCCACACTGTGTACAGAGACCTGTCTGCTGGCAGAGCACCACAACCTAGAGGCTCTGACATACATATGAGAGAGCTCCTAGACTTTACCCCATCATAGTAAAATGACAATATTGAAGGGAACAAAAAAGGACAGCGATGCCCTAAATCTAAAAAGCACTGTCACTTTGATCTAAAGTTTCTAGGTGATTGACGTTTGATAATAATTAAGTTCTCAAGAATAGAAGAGCTGTTTCTTTCTCAGAGTTAATGAATAGTCACTGACTGTTGATTTAAATAAGAGAACAAGCCCAAGGAGGGAAAACCCCAGAGTGTCTATGCGGACATTGCTTAACATACTTAGTTGCAGTGACCAGTTCTCTCAGATTATTCTTTTCAAGAGAAAGCCTATACTTCTGTTCACAGTTGATACAGGCGGGGTATTAAATCAAAGTCACACCACACCCCTATTTTTGCAAACATAATTGTCCAATTTGGTTGTAAGATGAATAGAGAAAAAGACTATCTTAGAGTGAAACATCGGCATCTGTTCATCCCTTATATCAGTGTTCCCTCTCAGTATTTATTATCAAGGATCTTCAGATGACCATCTTCACTCATAGATTGAACAAGGGAAACACTAAATTGAGAAGGACGAGCTACACGACCATTCTGCTTCTTCTGGTCTTCAAGTCTCTGGAGTAAACATACGGCCATAAGTTTTTCTTATAAATATCTTAATATGTGGCTACAGACCTGGCTCAGCCATAAAATCTCACATAGAACTCGATCAACTGAGCATTGGCACACATGCACACCTTGTCATAGTGAAGTGGTGCCAATGCTCAGCCAGAGGGGGGCATCTATAAATAATTTTAGGCTAAAAAACTTTGACATTCTTTCATTCTGATACTGAGCTTCAATGAAGCCTGAGATAGGCAAGATGGCATCATGACAACATCCAAGTCATCTAGGTGTTATGGATCAGTGTGCCTCATCAAGAAGACCACGCTACTCAGGCAGCTACACACTTTGTGCTCACAATGCGACATGCAATCACGGGACACGATGTCTACTCAGTGCTGACAAAATACTTTTGCGTGAGATCATCATTGCGCAAAACCCGCATCACATACGTTTTCCAAACAGTATACCACTAAAACACCGAAATCAAAGAAACTGAAAAACGGAAAAGTTTTTCAAAAAAGGGCGTAGAGCCTTCTATCAGTTCGTACTGATAGTTCGATAATTTTTCCACTACTTTGTTGGGAATATTTAACCATGTCACATTCGGGAATTAGAACTATACTGATCATAGACCTGAACCGAAGTGGACAGATGACTAAATGTTGACAAAATGCCACCTTCAGAAGCCCACTTCAAAACATCAAGTAACATAATAAAACATGCAAGCAAAATATAAGTTCCCTTTTGCCATTTACTTAAAGAAAAGGGGAAAATCGTTCTGTGTTGAAATGAAAACAAGAATATAAAGATGAAAACATTATTTTTAAAGTCTTCTAATAGGAACAGGTACAAACATTTAAGCACATAAAACATTACATCGAGCAGAATAGACAAAAGCCATCACGAGAACTGCACTACACTGAAATGACAGGTCCTATCCTTTATGATAGTATGTCATTTCACCATTCTTTCCCCTATATCCTGTGCAAGAACAGTATACTGCCTTGACTTCTGTGACAAAACTTAGGTTGTTACACCTGACTCAGGACAGACACCTTTGTCCAGAAATTAAACGTTAACAGACTATATTGTTGTATTCTCAGCCTGTTTTCATTTTTGTTTCAACTTAAAAGTGCAGGACCAACGCTGAAATTTGAAACGAGAAAATGCTTTTTTAACTAGTTCAAAACCCTAGGAAAATGTTCCATTAAATCTCAGAAAAGAGCCAGGTATTCTTCAGAATCTGAGAACAGGACAACAGTGTCTGGACTCAGGCATCATCATTGGCAACTGTACAGTCACTAGGAAGCCATGGCAGTACCAAAAAAAATTCAACAAAAAATCATAGGGAAGATAAGAACAAGGAACAAGTAAGCCCAGCGCGGGTGGTACTGAGCAGACAGAAACAGAGACACAGAGAAATACTCACAATCCTAGGCTTGTAGGGCGGCTGGACCTCCCTCAGTTCTATCCTCTCCCACTGGATGCGCCTGAAGAAGGCGTGGTCCTTGATGTCGCGCTCACCATTGGGGCCGCAGCCCAGTCGTTTGGCTGGAGTCTTGGTCAATAACTAAGTGAAAAAAAACCCAAAAACATAGAGAAAGATGTCAGTGTTCCAGTTCTGAGTTTACGGAAGGAGAAGCACTTTGAGACAATAGCGGTCACTTAAAGAGCAGGGTAAATATCTGACAGTCAGACACACAGAAACAACCCGCACAGATCAATGGCTACGTGCAAGACTACAACAAACCCAAAACTGCAAAATGGCATTTATTGGACTTATATTCATTCATCAAAATGACATTATCAGTCAACAAAGAAACTATGTTTTCAGTTGCACATCAATTCCTCACAGTATACAACACCAGACTACTCAGGTAACATGTTCAGTAGAATGAAATCTCTGCTGGTCATCTCTTGTGCAGCACTCAATTTCATGCTAAGGAGTAAACCACAATTTATTTTTTAAAACAACCTAACATCGTTGGAAAATTTTTTAATCAAGAGAAAGGTGCCACACACAATAGTAATGAATTAACCTTATGTTTTCAATATTAAGTACAATGAAAATGTTACGCAAAAGCAGAACATGATACAGAACACCCCGCCCTCCCCATCCCAAATCACCCTTAAAATTAAAAAAAAGAAGAAAAAAAAACCACAGAAAAAAACAACAACCGCAAATCCAATCTATTTTTCGTCTTACAAGGTCAGGATTACAAAATTGCCTTAATACTAATGCATCAAAAAACTATACAGCACAGCTACTAACCCCTTTGCAGAGTGAGACGGCCTCCCGAGACAGAGCCTTGGGGTAAGACACGTTGTGGTCGGTTATGGAGGTGAACAGCTCCTCCTCATCCTCACCATCAAAAGGAGGCTACAACATGTCACAGCCACACAGCGGACCAATAGGGTTATGCAGGAAGGTTAGAAAGAAAGAAATGGGGGAAAAAAAATTTCAGGTAAAGCTGCATAGCTTGAAAAATAAGAAAGTAACTGAACAATTGAAAGTTACAGAAACAGATAAGTAATGTTACATTTATTGGAAAACTTGTATACCAACATTGATCTAATTCACTTAGGGCAATCAGGGAAGTTATACTTTGATTAAGCAAGATTGACATGAAGTGAAATTACAATCTACAAAAAAGAACAGGCAATATATTTGAAAACATGTTCTAGCAAGAAAGTTTGAGAGATAAGTAAAAAAACTGATGAAACTGAAAGAATTTTATCATCACATGGAAAACATTACAAGCAAGTAACCTTAAAAATAAAAAGGCAAATGTTGGTGTTATATGTTTTTTTTAAAACCCACTATTATTATTATTATTTTTATTGTTATAATCTGATAAAGTTTCAACAAGTTTAGTATAAGGTACAGACCTGTCCAGCCAGCATCTCGTACAGCAACACTCCATAGGCCCACCAGTCCACAGATCGGCCGTACGGCTGGTATAAAACAATCTAAGAACAAACAGAGACAAGTCATTGTTTTTCTGCCATAGACTCGAATAAAAGAAATATATGTCAGCAAAGATCTTGGACTACAAGATAAACTACTTCTATTGCTTGATTATGTTCTGAGAGGGGAACTGTCCAAAATAAAAGGAGCTAATTTATCCTGCACTCAGTTCAAGTTTTTCAAAAAAATGTTTAACAAGTCAGAGTAGGATCCCTTAGCCCTCTACCGCACAAAGACATTTTTGTCTCGCACAGGATTGTCCTGTCCCACTGTCGATTTTTTGCGTGTCAAAACAGATATCGCACTAGTAGAGGACTGATCCGACGCAAACGGCAGCTTCCTTGTTGTTGCCAACACCGCGTTGGAAATGCATTTAACAAAATTTCCTAAATATTGTCCAAATTTAAAAAAAAAAAAAAGATTTTCGTGATCAGCGATCCAAAATTAGCAAAAATTAAATCACAGGAGGAACACAATTTAATGCCCGATTATGAAATTAAATTATATTTTGTGTGCGTGCGTGTGTATGTGTGTGCGTGCCTGCCAGTGTGTTTCATCGGGTGACCTTGATACACAACTTCACCATTGACGATCAATTAAAAAATAATATAATTTGCTATTAAGGGTAAAATTATTACACAGTATCGCATCAAATCAGGTCCCTCTCCAGCCATTTTGCTTATTTTGAGATGCAGATTCCGAATATGAAATCAGTTTTGAGATGCGATAATTATTTTAAACATTTTGTTCCCAAAAGTTTAATCCTGCGCGGCGGCAAATTATTTTAAAGTGATTATACGTGACAACACGCAAGCACCGCGATCTTGACAGCAGGCGTTACCAAGTCTGGGACAGTTTTGTCCTAATGTGGTAGGCGGCTATATTTCTCTATAACTACAGACGATATTACTGTGGGACTAGGATAGTCCTGTCCCATCGATTTTGTAATAATTCACAACTGCTCGGGACTCAATGTGACAAAAATGTCCTGTCCTAATAAGTGTGGTACATATACACTCTAATTAAAACGTTTCAAAATTGAGACGGGACTGTCCCGGGATGAACTGTCATAGTGCCGCAGAGGCCTTAGAGGGCATGTATCATCCTGGCACAACTCATCTCACAACTCAAGTGCTGTAAGCTTATCGCAATATAAAAAACTCAAAAACTTTGAAACTCTGAAGTCCTGCCAGTGACACAGCCTTACATCATTAAAAATGGTTGTTGAACCCATTCAACACGGTAGCGTGGCTATGCCACAGAGACAAGGCTTGTGTATTCTGTAAGAAACCTGTAAATAATGTCAGAGACATAACCTCATAACCACGTAATAAAAGCAACATGAAAGAAAAACATAACACAATGATGACACTCACTCACCTCTGGGGCGATGTAGTCCGGCGTGCCACAGAAAGTGCGGGTAGTTTTGTCCCCCATTATGTTCTCTTTGCACATGCCAAAATCTGCTATTTTGATATGACCCTCAGCGTCTAACATCACATTATCTAGCTTGAGATCTCTGAAGGAGAAAACCATGGAGGAAAATAAAGGTTACAAGGTAGCAAAGATTGTCTATAAAAAATATATCCCTTCTTGAAATAAATTGTCTTCACCAATTTACGCGCAATAATATAGACGTTACCACAGGCATTGATGAAAATATTTTGTTTCGCTTTTCGACGGTTTTCTTTTAGAATAATCTCTGCTTATTTCAAATTTCAAATTCAAACAGAGGAATGATTGTTCATGAAACAATCTTTGGAGGCAGCAGGTTCAGCAATAATTACAGAGCAGAGTTGTTTTCCAATCTATCATAAAAATAGTTCATTTCCCCTGAGGCTGAAGAATGACATCTGACTCCTGGAGTCTACCAGAAGGAAATAAGACAAAAATCCTTCCAGATTCTCTCCGACAACAACCTAAGCTAGGTCTATCTTTTCAAAGTTAACATCACTAAAGGAACTCTTAGAGATGAACAAGTGGACAAACAACAAACAACCACACAGACAACCACACAGACAAACACACACACAAACACACACACACACAAACACACACACACTCACACTCACAACTTCTCACCTGTATACAATGCCTTGAGTATGGAGGTAAAAAAGGCCAATAGCGATCTCTGCAGCGTAGAAGCTAAGGAGAAAATCATAAAGCCAAAATATTAATAGATCTAGTGATACACACACACACACAAACACACACACACACACACACACAAACACACAAACACACACACACACACACGCAACGATGGGAAATAAATCAAATCAGTCTAGACAGCAGTACTTTTCCTGTTACAGCAAAAGATATCACTCTTAAGTAGTGTTGCATCCTGATAAAGGGCAGGAAACCCAAGTTCTGGGACTCAGACGATAATCAATCCTTTTATCTGTTTATCTCTACCGCTTTATGGAAAAACCTTTCCACTCAAAATAATTAGACATTTCCTGTTTACTGTGCACCTGTGCAATATCAGCTGCCACCCCAAAATTAGGGATATGTGATTAAAAATAAAAAAGAAAGTACATCCTTGACAATAACTCTCTTGTTGTTGTATCAGTCATCCATGTTTTTACCACCATTCTTCCATTACAAATTATATTTTGTTTTAGTAAGCTTTTTATGGCACTTGCAACACAATAAGGTCATATGAGTGCTGAAAATAAGAGGTGGTACAAGAAAGTAACAAACAAAAAAAAGGAGGAGAGATAAGGATGATAGATATTTGATAGGAAAGAAGGAGCAAACCACACCAAGATCATATTCAAGTGTACTCATGAAACATAAAGGATTCTATGTAACACACACAAAAAGAAGGACATTTCCTGTCACAAAAGAAACTAAAAGTCCGAATATATCAAAAAGCCAACTCGAAACTGGTAATTTAACCAGAAAAAAAATACACCACCCCCCTCCCAATTCCGAAAAAGAGAAGAATACAGTTCCATTTCAAAAGAGCAATAAAAAGTGTTAGAATAACTCCAAAAAGACTCACGCAGCTACCGGCTCCTTGAACTTTCCTTCTTGTTGTATCCGATACATGAGGTCACCACCGTTGACATACTCCATGACAAAGTACAGGCGGTCCTGAGAGGGAGTGGAAGTACAGGGTGACATGGGAATGTGAACAATCATGGAACGTTTTGATAGTTAGAATCAGGATAGTTGAGAGCAGGGTTTAAACCTAAGATTTAGTTTTTAAAAAACCGAAGAGATTAACATTAACAACAACTTTTTGACAACTTATGATTACAGGTGGAGGAGGAGAAGGAGATGCCCTTGCAACTATAATCATAGCAACGCCCAAACAATATCGTCAGATCTTTTCTTTTTAAATAAACCAAGCGCTTGAACTGAAGTTATAAAAATACCCAACAACACCATAAAATCCTTTAAAAAAAACAAAAAACAAATATTAAATCAATTCCTGCCAACACTATCCACCACAATGTCAGAGAACATCCATCCATGACACTGACCATGGTCTGGAAGCAGGAGTGCAGTTGCACCAGGAATGGAGGTTTATCAGGCAGGGCTAGGACTCTCTTCTCTATCATGGTACACTCTACATCGTCGTCCTGAATTATCACGTCCTTCTTCAAGATCTTAATTGCATACAGCTCATCCGTGCCCTTTCTCTCAGCCAACACCACCTGGAACGAGCAAACAAGACTTAGTAGGACAAAGTCATGCCCGACACAACAGTAAGACAACAGAACAATAGTGTTTGTTTGTGTGAGTGAAGAAAAGCAGATCCACACCATAACAGTCATGTAGGAATAGGGGGGAAAAACCCTGAGAGTCAGAAATAGCAAGGGTGGAAAAAAAAGTAGAACCTGCCAGTGGCATTCTCTAGCCACCCATACATCTCTGGGGTTCAACATCTTATGTCAACATAGTAAGGTAACATAACTCATTGCCAATCTACACATACTGTTCTACTTCATAATGCCGATAAAGTAAGGGGCTGTTTGTAGGAATTGATCATTTAAATTAATTTTCTAATATGAGTAAGCCAAGGCGAATGGAGAGCCAGAGCAGCTCACTGAACAAACCAAGCTTCATTATGACACATACGGGATTTAAATTGAGATATCCAAACATGACATAAGCTGAGCTTACACATACAGCAATGGATATATAAAACTAAGATAAACATTTTGTCTAAAAACAGAAACGACCATAATCACACGCACTATCTCAAAACTATTTACTTTCATCTGTGATGGGTGGAAAAGGATGCAACAACAACAAGAGTGGCAACTTCTCTGACTGAAAAGATTTTTTTTTTCCCCCCGAATGCTCTGTTCTTCAGAATATTCTGCATTAGAAATAATATCATATCACAAAGGAAAGTAGTGCATACCTTTCCAAAACTTCCTTTGCCGAGGACAGTGAGGAAGTTGAAGTCGCTGGCACGCACAATGTCTTGTTTGCTCATGTTTTGAACCTTGTCGGGCTCCGGGTAGCGCTTCTCACTGCTGATGCTTGACCGCTGGTTGGTGAGGGCAGAGAGGAATACAGTAGAAATTAATCATTCTTCTCTCTCTCTCTCTCTCTCTCTCTCTCTCTCTCTCTCTCTCTCTCTCTCTCTCTCTCTCTCTCTCTCTCTCTCTCTCTCCCCCCCCCCTCACACACAAACACATAAACATGTACACATATATAGCAGATCATGAAAACACACACACAAAAAATAATCAACAAACTCAATTCCATCCCTTTACTGATAGTCTGAATATTTCCAAAGGGATCATCTATGACGTGTACATTGAAGGTATCCCGCTCCCGCCCCCAACTCTCTCTCTCTCTCTTTCTCTCTCCCCGTGATCAATCTCTCTCTCTCTCTCTCTCTCCCTCTCTCTCACACACACACACACTTTACCCCCCCTCTCTCTCTCTCTCTCTCTCTCTCTCTCTCTCTCTCTCTCTCTCTCTCTCTCTCTCTCTCTCTGCCTCTATCCCTCACAGACACAGACCCCTCGCACGTGCGAGTTCACTCACGTGCATCTTGCTCTTGATCTCCTGAATGCTCTCTGTGATGTCATCCGTGACAGGCACGCCATAGAACTCTCCCTCCTCCTGGTTGAGCAGCTTAAACCAGCCTTCCACAGGAGACTTGATCAACTGAGGAACATTTCATTTAGTAAGAGTTTTACAGCTCTTGCAACACAATCAGGTCGTGTAAGTGCTGAAGATTAGAGGTGTTACATGAGAGTAATAAACACAAAATAAAAAGGAGGAGAGATAAGGACGATCGATGTTTGATATGAAAGAAGAAGCAAACCACACCAAAGCAACCGCAAACCACCCACATTGAAGAACACAACAACGACACAACTTAAAGTATAAACAGATCATCAAAAGTACCCTTTTCTAATACTAATGTTCATGGATCTAAAGGAAAGACCTTATTGGTAACAGCTAACTGAACGGGTATAATGTCCCTATTCAACATTCGGAATAAACAAGAGGCAGATACTCTTAACTTTGCGCCCTTCTCCAACAGAACCGAGCCAATAGGGTGGACAGCCTTAAAAACTCTCCAAATAACCCAAATTTCATTGGGAATTCAAACCATGTCCATCCCCAGTGAAGCAGAGCTTGATACATGTACCAACTGAACGAAAGGCAAGCCACTACTAAAAACTCTATAACCATTTTTGTAGCACGAAAAAAAAGTGCATATCAGGGTCTGAAAGTGTTAATATTTCTAAGGAAGCGAAATAGAAAGGGCAATGTCTGGAGAGCGATATTTACCATTCAATATTGGTGAACGGTTTTGTTTTGGGTTTTTGGGGGGTTTGTTTTCATCGAGAGGGACATTAGTATTCACTTTGACAGATGGTGTTTTCAGACTAGTCCGCTTGCACCCCATGGCGACGGTGCACAGGTCAAAGAGATATCGATACTTCTACCATTATTCCCACTTGAAGCTGTTTGTTTCAGATGCAATTTATAATGGCTGCTAGTGCTTAAATTAGTAAGCCCGTTAACATTAAGGACATTTAGCCCTATTATAAAGTACAAAGTTCTTGAAAACAACTGGCAACTGGTCAGTGGCTTAACCTGCAGTATCAGAGACACTGGTCAGGTTATATTATACGGTCCCTGTTCTTTTGTGAAAAAAAAAAAGATATTCCCAGAAATTTTTTTTTTTTTAATGTAGCTGCTTTTATGCCCCCATCGACAAAATTTCAATCATTTAGAAAGTAAGGATAGACACTGTCTGTCACAGACAACTCGGACGGGAAAGGACACAACATCCCAGCAAGTAAAAAACCCCCCACCATACTCGATAACAAGCTTCTCCCCACTCCAGAATCGAACTCGGGTCTCCTGTGTGCAACAGTAAAGCGCTTAACCACCACATCACAGACGCCGGTAACCGGATATTCTCAGAAAAACATTATGAAAGAGACATTATTTTAATTAACAGAAAAAAAACATTTCGACAATCTTTCTGCCAGTTCCCAGTCTGTAAAGCTGGAATTCAGGTTACATTTGAAACTAGACGCAGAATCAAAGCTTAATCTAGAATGAAACTGAACTAGATGTAGGACTTCAACAGAAACTTCATCTATTGGACCAAAGCTGAAACTAGACACAGTACAGTCGACACTGTCAGAGACAGCCACCCATAGTGGAGGAGAAAAACGCTTGTCTTAAACAAGTGGACGTCTTACAAGGTGTCACTGTGTAACGTAAAACTGTGCACGTGGGGAAATAATAGGTGACTGTTTATGCAGGTGATTGTCTTATACACGTGGCCGTTAGAGCAGGTTCGACAGTACATGTATTATAGTTACAGTTGAAAAGGTGAGACTCAAACCCCCGCGCTCAATAGGAAAGTTTCGCCCCTTTCTCGTCTGCAAAGTAGGACATACGTCGATCATTTGCGGTGAAACGAGCCAAACGGGCAAGCATGCCTCATTATTTTGCAGACCGGCAGTAGTGCGAAGAGTGAAATATTCTTTTAGTGTGCGCAAGGCCAATCGCTGAATCTAAAGGTAGGACTGACATTAAAACTAGAGGAGGGATTATGGCCACTCTAGACGGAAGCCAGACTGTCGAAATTTTGTGGGCTGGACAATCTCTGGGGCATCAATCAGGCAACTGGCCACAGGTCCAGGGGCTGGCGCCATCTACCGGCCACATCGCTCACTCCCTCCACCGGCCACATCCTGTCCGACACACTGCTCCCCCATTGGGATTCTCCGTGACAGGCTCCAGCTCTTTTTACTTATTGTAACCTTCTCCCCCC